GGCATTACGCCGTTCATGTGCAATAAGTGCCGTTCGATTGGAAAAGAGAATTCGCCATCCGGACATTTGATCTGATTTACCCTCAAAGGAGCAATAGGTTGATCATAGTCCTTCTCCATCAAATCTCGCAAAGGAATAACGAGAAATTCATGACGCCAAAGAAAGTCAGGATGGATGGGATACCCCAGAAATATTCCAGCCCTGGAAGTAGGTTCAAACTTCAAAGGCTTGTTGGGTCGATTCCTCGGGCCGGTCCAAAAGTTGACTTGACAACCAAAGGGCAAATATGGTCCGGGAAAATCCTCTCCAAAACGTACCTTCCATGGTGAATGATAGTCTGGGTGGTCCGTGATGTTATGCGCCATGCAATAGTGTTTGGCCGCATGTGGCCAATACGAATGATGCAAACCAGCTTGCTCCAGGTTGGTCCTCGTGCCCTCGATAATCGCCCTGACGTTCCTCTCAGCAATAGCATTTGTTTTGGAAATGTAGTTTGTACTTTGAACATGCTTCCATTCCAATTGATCCGCCGCTTTCACAAGTTCAGGAGCCCGATCACTGTAAAACACGTTCACGGTTTCCCCGGTGCGGACAAAGTGCTTGAATGCCATCACACACTGATGAGAGGTTTTCCGTGCTGCTGGGTAAACATAACGGAAATCAGTGGCAACATCTCGAACCACAAGTGCAACTCTAGATTGGTCAATGCCGATTTCACGATCATCTGATGTAATAAGATGGTCCGCCGTAAGGTGATCACCAAACTTCTTGGCCTCAACTTGAGTGGAACCTCCCTTCTGTCTTGATGGATATTTGTACATCTTCGCCCTGTTACAAGTCTCGCAAAAGGGGTTTTTGGGAGTGTGACACATCAAGTGCTGGAGTGAGGTCGCCTCATCACGCAAAGCTGCTTCACCGCGTTTGCGAGGGGCGTCCTTCAAAATAGGCTTCGACACAAAATCGGAAGCGATGACCTTAGGCGCATCTTCGGAGGGAATGTCATGGCACTCTTCAATGACCTCACCTTCCGGTTGGCTAATAGTGTCCTCAAGCAAGAAATCATCGTTCCCCAATTCATCCCCATCATCCTCATTGGTCACAAGCACCTCTTCAACAGCTTCCGGTTCCTCGTCAATGACCAGAACTTCATCCTCAATTTCAATGGGAGCTGATGGTAATGATGTAACCTTTGGAATGCTCTGTGACAAAGCTGGAACAGCATTTTGAGTTGCTGGGGGAATGAATGGAACATTGTCTTTGACCTCGAGCTTGATACGTGAACCATCCGGAAGTCGGAAATAAGGTCTGCTGTGGGCTCTCCAAACGAAATCATATCCGTCCCTGAGGCATCTCATACCCACACATAACACGGATGGAGCCTTGTCAAGAACATATGGCCGAACAACACTATCGGTCTGTTGGATCTTGACCCTGGCCTGCTTGGTACCGATGATATTCAGGTTGAGACGATTCGTAAATACATCCCATCTCCGCATCGGTTCCCGATAGCAAGTCCTGAGAAGCTCCTGTATCCGCAATCCACGGAATGTGAGAAGAATCCATTGTCATACGAGCAACAGCAGCTTTCCCCTTTTTGGGGGAGGTCACGGGCTTCTCTGGCTCGGCCGTTAGGCCTGCGGGGATGCAGGAATCACAGCCGAAATCAGAGTCGCATTGAAATTTGCAAGGAGTCTTCGTGCCTTTGAGCAAATCCTTCATCATAGCTTCATGCATGGTGCCGATAAGAATTGCGTCAGAGACGGCTCTCTCATCGAACTTCGGAACATAATCGACAGGAAACTCGTGTGCAAACCTTCTCGACGAGGCAGTGTAGGGCCAAAGCTCGCCGTCAGTCTCATAGTTCGAAATGGATGGGTAATCAGAAAATTGCACGCACTTCTTGATGCATGGCATACACTGGAAAACATCGTGAGTCACACTAGGCAAGCAAGGATGCGAGGCGACCGAGTCGAGGGTCGCGGCGCACACCATCGCCTGGAGGAGGCACACCGCAGCATTGCTGCCTTTTGACGATCGCGGAGACTTGAGGGACTGAGAACCCTTTGAATCTTTCGAATCTTGAGAAGAAGGCCTGCTATCCTTCTTCCCCTTTTTCTTTTTCTTGTCCCTCGGCGACGTCTTGGGGGTGTCTCCACTAGCGGTCTTCTCGGCCTTTGGGGCTGGAGCTGCCTTGGAAGTTGCGGGGTGCTGCCATGGGCAATCTTTCCCCCTCTCACATCTGTTCGCTTTGAAGAACTTGCACACCTGGGGCTTCGAACCAGGGGGACTCTGCGAACGATACTTCCTTGGCGTCTGGGGTCTGGACCCGCCCTTCTTGCCTTTCCCCTTACCTTTCGGTGCCTTAACATGTTCGAATCGGCAGTCTGAACCATAGGTGCACTGGCCAGTTTGAAATTTGATGCATACACCCTTGGGGATTCCAGGAACTGCAGGGTTGTTCGATGGAGTCCTGCCACGCCCCGTTGTGTTGCTTGACATAGCATCCCGCATGTGAACAAGCCTCTTGCGCTCCAAATAATTCCTCGATGCGTCAATCAAGAATTTATAGGAGTGCTTTTCCGTCCCTTCCTCAGCTCGCTCATACTCATTGAGATCATGACTGAGGGGCCGAAACTTTCGAATCTGGCGGTGGAACAGCGCTTCGAGGGTCTTCTCATTTTGCTCATTGCCCATTCCAGCGATGACCGTGTCCCATCTCGTCATGAAATTTCTGAGGTCCTCGTTGATGAGCTGGACAGAGAGCAAGTCCTCAAAGTCGTAAATTGCACCATGTTTGATGTTCGTGCTGAAGTGCTTGTGAACCATCAAAAGAATTTGGCGCCCCCTCGCATAGCGTTTCTCCTTTGCTTCTTGTTCTTTGAAAATGTCAACTTGCCGCGCGAGGTCGCCCTCCAAGATATTCGTCAACGCCGATGCCAGCTTTGCATCAAGATGGACAAACATTCCTGAATCACGAAGGACTTCAACAGTTTGACCTGGGATCCAAGTTGCCTCAATCCATTCGAATGCCTTTTCGGGTTGGTCGGAAGTAGCAACAACAGCATCCCTAACTTTGATCCTCCAATTACGGTACTGTTCGGGCTTCGGGAATCGGGGAATCTGAATTCTGTCACCCTCCTTTACACGAACGCGTTCCGCTGTCGGATCGCTCGAATTACCTAAGTGCTTCAGTAGCTTTCGTCGAAAGGATTCATCCGATGCAGTTGAAGTTGATGATGAAGATGACGAGGGAGAAGATGACGGATCTCGTCGCCGGCGTCGGCTACGGTCCTTCTTCTTTTTCTTCTTCTTCTTCTTTTTCTTGTCCTTGTCATTTCCACCATCACCATCATCGCAAGGCCAACCGTCTCCGGTAGCAGCATCGTCCACGGCCCCGGCGGGAACGGATCCGTCTTTGCCGTAGGGGTCGCTCCCGACTTTCGTCCAACTGTGCGAGGAAGCGTTCGAAAGGCCGGGTGGAGATGCAGCCAAAGGAGCTGTCGGGATAGCCAAGGGGTAGCTGGTGCCTGCTGAACAGGAGGCGCAGGGGCAGGAGCAGGTTGAGCAGGCGGTTGCTGTTGATTCTGCATCATCTGCTCGACCATAGCCCTTAGCTCTCTGATCTGTCTCTCCTGCTCGCTGATCGTGTTGATGGCGTTTTGGTACTTCATCTCGGCTTCTCTTTCTGACTTCATTGTGTTCACACGCTGCTCAGCATTCATCTGAATCTCGCGTCTCATGGCCTCCGACTGGCTTTGGAGACCGGCAATGATCTCACCATGCCTTGCCTCCGCCAGCTGGGCGACCATGGGACCGGTGTCCTGATTCACGAACTGGTTGAATTGGGCATTGTTCTGGGTAGCGTTGATCTGCTGATAATTCGTCACGTCCTGGTTGATCGTCATCGAAGGATCGAGGTGGACGTTTGCAACATGTTGGTTGAACTGATTCATGGACTGTGGCATAGGGTTTCCCCTTGCGAGATCGGTCTGGGGGTCGTACATGACGATGTCACCATGCCGATGCCGATCTGATCCAACAGGTGAAGGAGATCGAGCACCAGACCGCCCAGTCCTCCCACGGTCACTCCGGGACCGAAGTGATTCGGGGCCCTGACTGCTCAGTGCTTGTCCCTTCCTGATGAGCTCCCTGGCCACTTGGGAGTTTGCTCGACTAGTCGGTTCGTATTGCGAGGCGTCTTCATCGCCTGCGGGCTCATCAGGTGTGGGACGCACCTCGGTATGGGGTAGTCCAGGGTCGCCATCCATGGCGTACAACTCTGTACAAAGAGCCGCTTACGGCTGATAACCTATAGAACAGGTTAACCAACCGGGAAGGGTCACAAATGAACCCTGTACACAGCGCGCTTTTTCCTTGAGCCATATGCAGTCGTAATGATGAGACTGCACAAGTGAGACATTCATGCATTGGGGTTTTACATGGTTGATAAATACATCACGTTGCAAACTACACAACTTTCCTTGATACTCAAACCGGTTTTGTGGCCCAGTTGCCATGTTCAGGTTTCATATCAGGATGCTTGGGCCCTCTACTGGGGCCCTCTACCCTTAAAGATGGGATATTGGCGACGTTGCCCTTAAAACTGTTGGGCGACGTTCTAGGATTGTTCAACAAATGGTTGGGCCGAGTGAGGGTTCAGGTGGGTGGGTGGGTGGGTGGGTGGGTGGGTGGGTGGGTGGGTGGGTGGGTGGGTGGGTGGGTGGGTGGGTGGGTCGGTGGGTCGGTGGGTCGGTGTGGGTGGGTGGGTGGGTTTAAGGAAGCCAACAAATGTGCCCCTCACACCCCCAAGGTCTTCGGCCCAGGTTCCGGATTTGGGTAATTACTGTGAATTTCAATTCAAAACCTTTTGGTGGACATCATTTAGGTTATTCATGTCCCACCACTTTTGAGGTTCCTCTAAAAAAGCTATATAAACATCTCCATTTTTAGTGACACACGCACACGCGCGCACACACCCGGCCGTCCCTTAGGCGCCGCGCCCTCGGCACTCGCCGAAAGCCTGTGCTTCGCTTTGGCGTTCTGCGGGTCCAAATGCAGCGCCAGGCCGGCCCAGCAAGCGGCCGCCGACAAGTCCTCGTGCAAACCTAATTGAAAGGTTGAAAGGCATGGGTGTGTATGGACCAATGTGCGTGTGCCACTCAGTTGAAAAAACTTCTGGTTGCAACTCAAAGGTGGCCTTTGGACAAGCCAAATGTGCCAAAACAGGGGTTTGGGACCCCAAATTCGTGGTTGTCCTTTGGTTTTCTCTTTTAACCAACCTGAAGCGGGTACCACATATAACTCATAAGCCAGAAAAAAGGAATGGTCAAGAAACAGACCTTCACCATGGATGAGCTCGTTTTACCCCGCGGGTGAGCTCGTTCTAATTCGTGTTGTAACACGTAACACAGAAAATTATGTGCATTCTAGTAATTTTGGCTGTTCCAGTAGTACGTGTTTGGTCGGATAATGACTTGACTTGGCCCTGGGAAGTTCAATGTTGAAATGAAGTAAGAAAAATGCGGGGAGATACAATAGCAAAGCAACTAAAGGCCTAAGGAAAAGTGGGCCCCATCTACAGTTGGTGAAGGTATAAGACACAGTTCTCTTATGTTCTTATGTTGGATTAGTCATCTTACTTGCCCACACAAAGTGCATTCCGTATACTTCCACCTCGTCCTTTTCTCTCAGGATGCTTGGACCTTGTTGGACACTGGGAATCCCAACCTCCCGGGATTTCCTTTGGGACTTCCCAATTCTCTGGCCTGAAATTCCAACCTCATGAGGAGTTGTCGAAACTAGGGTCCTTTTCTTCGGGATCCCCTCTGAAAGGCGGCAAGTACCGACGGCAGGACTGAATAAGGAACCGGCCATATTCTTTAGCACAGCTTATGGCCAGTGCCCCCCCCTGCCCCAGCTAAGTCCTCGAGTCGCAGCTGGCACAAGGACTTGTTGCTGCACAGCACAGATAAGTCCTGAAAGCCCGGATAGCCACACAAAAAAAAGAAACACTCCAAGTTTTGAAAAGGAACGTGGCACTTCGTAGAACAATTCAAGCTAAACAAACATCACATAAACACGTCATCGGACCTTCACGGGGCAGAAGGTGAGTGTGGTGGCTTGCTCCCTCACATTTTGCAGCATGGCAATGGTCAACTCAAGATCTTACGGCATGTTCGATGGCCTCATTCAGAAGAAACACCCATGCTGATCGGGGTTCTCAACATGTTTCCCCTTTGGCTGTCAACATCGCCTTTTGGGCCAAGCTCGAGTGAGTATTCTTTGGGCGGGGACGGGGAAACACTGGACATATGAGCCTCATTGAACGCTCCGGGCTCCTGACATGCCGCGTCCTCAGCCTGCATGGCTTTCAAATAGAAATCCAAGGCTTTCTGATGCTCACCTGGCCACGTACCCCCAGTGAACATCCCAACCCCCACTCAAATAGGCTCAAAAATGGGTGGTGAATTCACCCACCCCAAAATGGGATTTCATTGGGTTTGACAACCACAGCCACCTGACTGAAAGCACTGATTGCCGCGAGCTTTAAAGTCATCAGCTGTGGAAGGGGCGGTAGCATCAGTGATCTCTGCTGGGTCATCCACACGAATGCCCAGCGAGCCATCCATGCGCTGCTTGTAGTACGGCTCATCAATAGCCAGTGTCCTTCCAAGGGTAAGCCACATGCAAGCGATGTTTGGCACTTGCTTTAGCCCAAATGGGTGCTAACCTAATGGGTTCCAACCAAACGGGTTCTAGAATGCCACACACATTTAAGATTGTCTTTTGGTACAAGCTGGAAGCCGGTTATTAAAACCTGCTCGAGGTTCCCTGAATGCGCTTTATCCAAGTTCTGAGAGACGCGCAAGGAATTGAAACCTGTCCTCCCTTTGTAGAATAATCGCTCAGTGGCTTCCCACCCCGCACCAGGAACATTGTAAACGGCCACCTCCACAATATCGCCACCGGCGTCCTGCATGGAAGCAAGAGCCAACCGAACATCATGCAATGAAATCTATTGCCGTGACTTCTCGCACAGGCCTAGTGGGCGCGTCCTCCACTAGAAATGCTGCAGATCCGGAGAACAATGGATTCTCGCAGATTGTACCTGTCTTGCTGAGGTCATTGAAAGAGGCTCCTCTCTGTTCATTCTCACGCTTGTTCTCATTCTTATAATCTTTCGTATCTAGCTGTCCTCTCTCTGTCTCACTGACTCACTCACTCAGTCACTCACTCACGCACGCACTCACTGACTCACTGACTCACTGACTCACCGACTCACTGACTCACTGACTCACTGACTCGCTCACTCACTCACTTCTCGCTCACTCGCTCACTCTCTCTATCTCTCTCTCTCTTGGTGGCATCATCAACGAGCATGCATACATGCTTATGAAGTACCCTTTCAATCAAACTCCTCCCCAAGAAGTCTGCACATTTCAAGACCTGCCAACTGGTGGGTCTGGATGTCAACAAAATATGCGGGCAACTGTCGGGCAATCCAACGATAAGTCAAGGCTTGCCTTCAGGCGCCGGAAAACAACCAAAAAGAACATGTCCCGACTTCTGCTCAAAAACAACAACATAATTACCACTTGTCCTGCCTTCCAGCACCCTGCCGCGATGTGTCGTTCCAAGCGTGAGCTCTTTGACCATCATGGGAACCAGTGCTGCACTCCGGGATCTCTGACTCGGCTTGACGTCGTGGCAATGCCGCAAGCCCAAGTTGAAGGATTTGAGGTTTCTAGGCCCTGAGTACGTCTTGATGTACTGTTGCCGTTGCTTCCTAAACCTTTTCCGAAGATCATCTGGGCTGGAGGCAGCGCCAAACATTCCATTTTGTTGGAGCTCCTCGGCCTTCTGCATCACTGCTTCCTGCGCCTCTGGGCCTAGAGCAGCCAACATCTCCATGACCTTCGTGGGGTCAGGAGCTTGAGTTACGTTCAAAAACGCCATGGCAGCAAGTTTAGAATTCAATGCAACTTGCCGGCTTGAACCAACTACGATTCCCACAATCACCTTCACGACACTTTCTGCAAATCCCAAGATCACTGCCGACCGTGCCCAGTTTGTGCTTGCCCAAGCGGCCCCATTGGTTGTCCTCCAGTTGCGTGTGGTACCCCCACAAAGGGACAACAGGCTAGAGGATGTTTCAGGGGGCATTCCGTGTGCCCCATTCCTTGTGCTCTGTCCGGCACACATCTCTGGGTGTTGAAAGGGCGTTTCACCGGGCCAAATAATCAGCTTCCTTCCACTTGGTGGTTTGAAGGTGGGTCAACCCCCTCTCCAAAAAAAGAAACACCTCTCCAAACCAATGAGCCAAGCCTGAACTAAAGGTATGCAGGACAGCCGATCGGCACGCCTGCGGGTCTTTCCATCTCGAGGTGCCCTGACCGAACTTCCTGGAGTGAACTCGGCGAACTCGGCGCTTGCGCAAGCAAAGCTGTAGATGTCTGCAAATGCTACTTTAAATCCCTTATTTGGGCATAGGAAAGTAAACCACCAGGGGGCTCCAATTTTGGGACAAAACCCGAAGCACAAAAGAAATCCCAAAGTAGGAGACCATGAGCTCGTTTTACCCTCCAATCAGCAAGCCGACCAAAAAATAGGTCGGCTTTAATGACAACCGCCAAAAGTACGAATCACCTCTGAACGTGGACACCAGCAAACTAATAAGGTGGTAAAATATACCCACCATTTTGGAGAGCTTCAGGTTTGAGCCATCCACGCACTCGATGTCTTCCACCGCGCTCACGGCGCTTAAACACGAAAGCAAACAAGACTTGACACGCCCAGCAACATGGAAACCTTCTCTAACTGTGACACTGTACCAGCCTGATTTTATACAGTAGTCTCTCAAGGACCCTCGTCACGGCTGAGTTTGTTTTAACAACATGCGGGCTTGCCACAATTCGCGCAAAGCAGATGCTGCAATTCAGGATCATGTCATGTGCTTCTCGTCGCATGCAACTCGCTTTCTCTTTGCGGTTGCTGCCCCGTGATACTGCAGTCACAAACAGTTCCATATCTGCAAAGCTATACATGTCGACGGGTGAGACAACCACAGCCTGAGCTCGGGCGCTGGCCCTGGAAAAGCCTTTGTAGAGGAAGCTCCTTCTAGGGGACCCGGCTTGGACGCCTGCTTCCTGCAAATTCCCTTCAAAGAATGGAATTGACCGGCATTGACCAAAATGCGCAGCGCCCAAAAGATGCTTCTTGACCTGGTTCTGCTACCTGAAGATTCTAAAAGCTTAGTAAGGGCTCTTTACAAACCTGAACCCCAAGTAAAGCTCGTTATAGCCTGCGTAACCATTGCCCAAATCCCAGCCATGAGTCCCGCTCCTGCAAGCGCGCGAGGTCGTCCTGCAAGCTGGCGATGAGTTTCGCCATCTGCGTCATGACCCCGGCCATGCCCAGAGTCAAGGCCTCGTCCCGTCCGCTGAGCCCAAGAAATAGGTCAAACCATCCAAACCAATAGGCGGTAAACAGGAGGGAACGTCTAAACAAACTGCTGGAACCAGTACAGTAATTGGTGGCAAACACGTGGAGACATCCCAAGCAACACGTGGAGTCATCCAAACAAATAGGCGGCAAACTGGTGGTAGACTCCAAGCACAAAGTGAAACCATCCAAAACAAATTGCTGGTAAACAGGTAACAAAATCAAAGCAAGCAGGTCAAACCATGCGAAGCATACAAACAAATTGGCGGCAAGCAGGTGGGAACATCTAAGCAAACTGGTGGAACAATCCAAGAAAATAGGCGGCACACGAGTGGCAAACAACAACATATGTAACATAAGCAGGTGGAACCATGCAAACACAAAGGCGTCAGACAGATTGTAAAATCCAAACAAACAGTCCGTGTGCTTGCTTGTTTGCTTGTTTGTTGGTTTGCTTGCTTGGTTGGTTTCGACTGGCACTAGGATCAACCTGGCATTAGGTTGATGCTTTCGAATGGCTGTTGAGGAACGTGCTCTTTGAATGGGCTGAAGGTGTTGA